ATCCCGGAATCAAGGCAAACTTTCCCTAGCACCACCAATCCTGATACCTGTTTGTCCTTGCGCTGTTCACTTGCTTTTCCGGCTTCTTTTCTTGGGGCAAATTGCATATCTTTCACATCATCGCATATCCATAAATCATAAAACATTATCGTCAATCATGCTCAGACAACATAGTGCTGGCGACTCCTGGAGGAGCTGCGATGCTTGTGGCCATGACCCCGTCGGCTGCTGTGGCTCCTCCTCCGCACCGTCGTTGTCTCCTTGACGACCACTTCCCTGTCTCTTCTGTAGATGAAGAGCGCCAGGATAGCCGTCCAGAAGAAGAACACCGTCTCCATGATCCCCAGCGCAAAGCACGTCTTCAGCATCGCGCAGGTCTTGTTGATCTCCAGGTACAGGTGGTTCTGGTTTTCATAGCCAAGGTACCCGAAGGGGCCAAGCGACACCCACACAGAGCCGCCATTCCAATGAGAGCAATCGGCGTCCGCGATGAAGCGGAGCTCGTAGACTCCTGCGATGAAAGCGCCGAAGAAAAGGAGGTCGACGAAGGCGACGAAGAACGCAGAGCGCTTCGTTGTCGAATGGCGGATGAGCGTGTCGAAGGCCCAGAAGACGGCGATCACGCTGACAATGAAAAGCACCAGGATGTAGGGCGGGGTGATCTGGTTTGCTTTGAGATAGCCGTCGACGAAGTAGGCCTGTTCGGCATGTTAGGCTCCCGTAAATGCATATGCCAAAAAAGTATATCTGCTTACCATCATGCCAATGATCGGAATCAAGAATACAATCTCCACCAAGCGGTTGAAGATGAAGAACAGACTTCCAATCATCTTGTCCGCTTGCGTGTTCCGACTGCTGCTTCGATGGATAAAATTAAATGCCGACTTGAGGTATGTGAGGTGATCCAATGTCCAAAATGTGGAGACAATGCGCTTTCAATTTTGATCAAAGCCGATAGTGTCGTTACGAAGTCATCAGCGATTGTATGATTAGAGAAGAAACAGGGTATGTGCGCGAGTTCGAGAGACTCGTGTTATCCAACTCCTTGCGTTAGGCTGTGTACACTATACCACCGCCGGAAATATGTTGAGCAAACACAAAGCACGAGGAAACGCTCAAACGTGGAATCAGGGAATTATGCATGCAAGAATGAGGTCAAATCATGACAGCACATAGATTCAAAAGAGGGAAAAGAAAGACAAGAAAAGAAACTGCCTCTTCATGAAAATATTCTCCGAGCTGATCGATGATGGAGGGGAGGCTGGGCAACTCAGATTGTTGGATTGCGGGGTGGCTGGGCAACCAGCACCATGGAACATTATCGACACATACACGTGGGGGAGATGCGGTGCCTGGTTGCTACTACTTGCTTCAGAGCTGAACTGCCATTTTCCAATGATCGATTAGACATCGACATTTCCTTCTATCATTTGCAGCGATGTCGATAGTAGTATGACAGCATGTATGTAACCGATCCACTGTTGGCTCGAGCGGTCTATTTCCCACGCGGTTCTAGCCATGGTTGATCTTTGGCTTATTTGCAGCAGGTACCTTAACTGTGAGCTAAAGCAGTCAGGTACGAGCACATAAAGATGCTGTCTGTACTTCCTATGCAGTAAATCAATAGATTGGATTTAGCGGACTGATTAATCATATATGCTCATGCTCCTGGTATGATCAACAACCATTCGGCTGGTTTTCTGAATAGAAATCGTCACAAAATCTATCAAACGCCACAATGACAAGCAGATTAACCAAAATACAGCAGGACATATGCATAGAAACATGACAGATTTTTTATACTCGAACAAAAATTCATCAATCATGGCACGGGTATACTTCCGGACTCAGCAGTTTGTGAGCAAACGCGCGATATCCGCACACTCCAAAACCAGTCTCAACTTATCCCGAAACTGCAGATCCGACCGACTCAGTCTCTGCCTGGACGGGTGGCTACTGGGTCCGGGGGTACGTGAGGAGCAGTGACGCCTGGTAGTACAGTTTGTGTCTGAGAATGGTATGATGTGTCAGCTTCGTATCTTGGAAGCCCGCCGATTCCCGGATTCTGTGTACGAGCATAGCCATGCTGCATCTCGTATCCATCTGCAACATCTTCACTGGAAGATGACCATTCACCATCATTGTCATGGGATCGGCGGTTGCGCAAGTCCGAGGTGTACGGGTTAGCTGAACCCATGTAAGTCGGAGAAATTCGCGCCGGACCGGTCTCAGGAGCACCAGATGCGTCTATCCTGTCTTCCTCCAGGTTCCGAAGAGCTGATGTGCTCGCATAGTGGTCAGACAGAGGCGAGGCGTTGCTGGGTGCCACAGGGTCTGTACCCCAGCTTCGAATCGGATACGCGCGCCCTTTCTTCCACGGCTCGGAAATGGGTGGGAAATACTGGCGGTAGGAGATGTAGGCGCAGACAATGCCCAGCAATGATCCAGTGATCACGTCAAAAGGATGATGCCTCGCATCCATAATCCGTGAAACGGCAACAAGTGTCGCTGCGAGGCAAGGAATTATGACGATGATGGCCTTCCAAACTTCGCCTCTGTTGTCCATAAAGTGCAGTTTTCCGCACAGCCAAAGAGTCAGGTAGAATAAACCGGCAAAAGATGCTATATTTCCGAGATTAGTACAATGAAAAGGAGCATCAAAACTTGACACAAAAAAGCTTACAGCTACTATGACCTATACTATCAATCAGCATAGCTCAAGAAAAAGATCAGAAGGCCAGGGCAAAACTTACCTGAAGGCCAAGAACGGAATCCATCCTTAATGATTGCAGGGTCTCCCGTACAAATAGTCGAATTAGACAATCCAGGGATCAGATCTTCGCTTCCTGGCCTCGGCTTGCACCGATCGATCAAATCAGGCCTGGGCTTCCCACATGCGGTCTTCAGCACCTGGGTGATGAGAAATGCGAGTCCCTGCGATAGCAGAAGACCCAGGAAGCCACAGTTGAACTCCCACAGGCGATCCTTCCACCGGTATGGCCCGGTAAGCTTCCTCTTCCCGGATGCCGGATTGTACGGCTTGTGATGCGAGAACAGACCGTCAATGACCAGCGTATACACTGCAATTATGGCGAGGGGGGTGACGCAGGAGATGAGCAGGGCTGCCTGGATCGAAATGCGCTCGTGGACGGCATAGGGGTACTGGATGGATATGTTTCGCAGAGAGAAATGCTGGTGATAGGGTTCGATGGAATCGAAAATGTAGAAACCAGCAATGCAACCGCTATAGTGAAATTATCGGTAAGTGATTGTGACGGTCTTCGAGCGAAAGGGAAGGAAATACGAACATGAGGATGAGATAGTCGGCAATGTATCTGTATAACAAAACAGAAGCTATTAGCAACACAATTCCGGTCAGTCAATCTTGCCGATTTCATCACTCACGAAATTATAACACGAGGCCGTAACCGCCGCTTCGAGAACGGTAGTTTAGAGGGAAGATGATCCATTTTCTTGACACTAAAGCTCTTAGACCACAAACATAAACGGCCTCTGGTGAAACGAGGATTCTAAAGGAAAGCTGAGCATGAAAATCAGCTTTCACTGCATAATAGGACAAGGAGACTCATTATATTTCCCAAATTCGGGCACACACTGGGCTGGTACAGATAGCCTCTTGGCTATTTCTTGGAGAGCACAGGAAACAAATCCTCTTGCTCCGTTGGAAAATGACTGATCCACAACTTACTGTACAAGTCAAGAGAATATCCCGCGATCCCGCGCGGTGTAAAACACGATCCTAATCTTCGGAGAATCCCCAATTAAGTAGTTTATGAGATATCGTCATGGCAGAAGCTGAGCATGCGATCATATTAATAGTCTGCCAAATCCAAAGCTGCCTAAAATAATTCAGACATGGAGAACAAAGTCCAGGGCTATGCCAATAACGGGAAAAAACTGCTGCCACCTCGACGGCTAAGGCTTGAAGTGTGTCCCGTGGCGTGGATCGTAGCCATTCAGGCTTGCCCCTGACAGAATCAGAATCCCGCTGCGCTCAATGAGAAGCGCTGGCTGTCACTAAGGATCCACAACTAGACCCTGGCCTGGAGTAGGTCGAACAACTGTGAATCAAATGAGGACCTTGCCTAGCTTGTCTAGGCGTCTAGGGGCTCAAAGTCTAAATCTAAGCCACCAGTGCACCACTGAGGGCACGTGTACAACCTGTGTCTTCCTGATGTTGATTTGATTTTTTTTTGTATTGTCCTTTAAAATATAGAATTGATTCGTGATTTAGAATCATTTGAATAATAATTAAAAGAGAGATGATCAACCAAAGTCCTGTCAAGTCAAATGCTAAGTCCACTGTCTCCGTGGCGCTCAGCTATTCTGCACGACGGGATCGTCCAGTAACTTTGATTGGCAACCTGAGGCACACGACGGCGGCTGTTCTAGGCAACATTATTTTTTGCAACTGGATGCCACCTTGGATCCGTATCCATCTGAACGAAAGATTATCGCTCCTTGTGATAAAACTTTGTAGCTTGCAGTTGTGTTTTGATACTTTATATAGAGTATTTCTACTATTAAGTATCTGGAGAGCTAATCGAAGATAAATTCTTGTTTGGAATGCTTGACTATATATGTCCTTCGTGTGGCCAGAGTTTTGCGACTTTTTCCGTAGGGAACAATTATCGTCTTCAGTCTTAGTTGTATTATACAATGCGCTTAAGCTATCTTCCTATGTACCTAATGAATGACTGTTCATGATTAACTCACTAGACCCATTCGAAAGATTCACTTTGCTGCCTACCATCCCGACCATACCCGACATTGAATCAATTTGGGTTCGAAAGAAAATTTGTCGTTTCATAAATAAAAGCCATAAGTTCCAAAGATATCACCATAGGTCCATCATTCGTGTTCTCATAATGTCGGGTAGCCCTTTGTCAAGCCGATTTGACTTAGCAGACAGTGATGTACAGACCAATACTGGATGTTGATTAGCCACGATTCAGATGTTTGAGACGCGCAGAGTAAACTTACGGAGAGGGGTTGTAGTCCTCGAAGAAGTTGAGGTTGGTGCTACCAGCGTTCTTCATCTCAAAGCCGACTGCCTGTCCAGCGGGGCACTGGAAGGTAGAAATCAGGTAGGAGTTGCCAGGGGAGACCGTGGTAACGCCGTAGTCTTGCTTGACCTTGGGAGCATTGCTGTAGGAGGTCTGGGAAGTAGCGGCAGACTCCAGCATGGCGAAATCGATCTTGCCGTCGCCGCTGAAGGAGTAAGAAGAGGTCTCGAGGTCCTCCTTCTTGGGGAACAAGAAGACGAGACTGCAGGTCTTGCCGGCGTCCGAGGAAGGAATGTCAAAGTTGAAGATGCTCGAGACGGTGGAAGAGACTGTGCCGTTGAACGAGGTACCAGGAGCCTTGTTGGGAGAAGAGGAGTCGACGGGGATGATCAGGTGGGGGAATTCGTACTGTCCAGAGAGATCGGTCGGGCAGCTGGGGCTGGAAGACTGGGTGGCAGAGGCAGAATGAGAAGGCTGAGATCCAGAGCCAGCGGGAGTAGAGGGTTGAGAACCGGAGCCAGCTGGGGTGGTTGACTCAGGGCAAAAGGTAGTGGTCATGGTTGTCTTGACAGTGGTGGTAGATCCCGGAGCGCTCGACTCGGGAGTAGGAGAGGCGGCAGGGGTGCTCTCCTGCACTGCGGAACTTGTTGGAGTGACAGAAATGACCGAGCTGTAGACTGCGGAAGAACTGGCACCGGCACCGGATCCGGCACCAGTGTTGGCACAGTTGTCGGCATGCAGCTGAATGTTCTTGCAGCCAGTCACATCATTGGGGTTGGGAGAGGTGTAGACGTTCAGTCCTCCATTCTGACCAGTCTCACAGGCGACAAAGTCTGTCTTTCCGTTGTAGGTGAGCAGGCCCTGGGCGTTGACGGAGAAGCCGGTGGTGGGCTGGGCTCCAGCATCACACTGGAACTGGGTGGTAGGTGCTATCGATATTTGTTAAAACGTTGTCTATCTGTCGAGGTGAATCCAGATACTTACGGGTCAAGATGCATCCACGTCCGTGTCCATCGATGATACCGCCATCGGAGTTGATGCAGTACTCGCCCTCAGGAAGGTTGCCGTAGACACGGTTCTGTCCATCATCAAGCTGGCCAATGGGACCAGAGGCACCACCAGAAGAGGTCAGATGGAAGCAGCACGTGTTGTCTCTGGTGACGAGAGCATTGGCTCCGACAGCGAGAGCCGCGAGAGTGGCAAAGTTCTTCATTCTGCGAGAGCGAACGGAGGCGGCGAGGCAGCACAGTGAGTGAAGCGGATAGACAAACGGTTCGATTGGTCTGAAATGGTACAACTGAGACCGATGTTGTTTATCTTTTGTCTGTTTGAGGACTACAACAAACACTGACGAGGACAAGAAGGTACTCTTTACTTATAAACCGTGGTGGGTACCCTTTCATATCAGCGTCATGGATGTCACTGGGACCCAGATCAAGGTAGGTCAGCAACAGCTCATACTTCGCATGAAAGCAAAAAATAGAAACAAAGTGTTAGCCAGTAGCAATTCATTCTCATGTAATGCATGTGGGCCAATACCGACCAGTCTGGCATCATAAACACGCCAGAGCGAGTAAACAAGCTCGATATTGCACGGACCTACCGGCGAGCCTGGAGGTAATCGGATTTCGACGGCATTCGGTATGGAGGACGTCATGATGGACAAGACATTGTGTGGAGATGGTGAATAGCATTGAGATAGCATGGCCCACCTACGATCCTAGTGCAGGATGGGCAACAACAGCAGCCATATCTAGTAGCATTGTTGCAAAGCATAAGCCTGCGGGTGGATCAAGACCCATCTGAAAGGCTTCGATTGGCCGTAGAGAGCCTGCCCTGTGTCAGCAACCCTTCAATGTTGCCTGATACATGGTTCTCTCAGGCTCAGGGCATGAGACTGCAACTGAGGTGGCGATATCAAAATTGATCCACGGAACTGGCACAGTCGGAAATTGGTTTGGCCAACGACAACAATCATTGCTGGATGAGGTTTCAAGGACGATAGCATTGAGCTCCCATGGTTCTTTCGTTCTATTCATAGTCTCCTATCCGCCGGGATGGCTGGTCAGTGATGCATTGAACACAGTTGAGGACTACTGCGTTTCCACGCATTAGTGATGTATTCCCAGCACAAGCCTATATGTCTGGAAAAGAGCAGTGGAGCAGAGCAGAGAGTGGAGATCTTCTTAAGGTGCCTTGCATCTAGTAAGCGTCATTGGAGATTATCGGGGTTGACTTAAGCTTCCGTAACATGGGCGCAAAATGGGGCAGCCTGGGTTGCCTTATCCTGTTGTTGCTTAGTCGCTTTCGCAATGGGGCATGGGCCATGGCTTGTGCCTCACGAACCAGGATCTTATCATCTACGTTCCTGGGCGTGGTCACCAATACTATGGTAGTCTGGAGCGTGGGTTTTGAACCAAGGAAATGGACTGGAGAAGTGGGAAATTATACAAGCCTAGAAAGGTACACAACAACGAGAACAAGTAAGCAACGCTCAAGTGGGACGAGATGGAGCCTCCCTGACGAGGATGCAGTGGGTAGGTGACGACACCACTGGCAGCCAAGAACGCTGATTGTCTTTACACAGCTTTTCCACTGTGGGTTTATCAATGTAATAACTATGCATTGACAGGGTTTATGAGTAAAATAATATTGGTCTGGGTAATGGAATGGATGTAAGACACTTCATCTTTCATCATGCCGGATCTATATGTTAGCCACGTCATTGGACCAAGTTATTACTTGATTAATTATTGCTCTGCAATTCGGTTCCTTTCAAGCAAGCCAGCGAAAGCCCAGTAACCGAGGTAACTGCAACAAGATATCATCAGCCAGGCACCAACATACACATTACTCCTGGTACGAGGATAGCCGCAGTTCGGCCAGATTATCCAGGCTGTCAGCTGAAGGCACATATACCTATTGTTCCGATAATGCAGACAGCGCCAGATTGGTCGATTAGTGCTCATAGATCTTGAAAATGCTACCTAGGTGTAATAATCTGTCCCTTTTCGCATGTGTTTGACCCTTGGATTAAGACAACCATCTAGTTGTGGCTACCAATACTACCACTCGTCTGATATATGATGTTTCCTCTTCACCGTCGCTAAGCGGACTACAAGGCTACCTGACTCGTGCAGCTCCTGTTCGAAGGGATTCTACCTTCTTGATCTGACACCTGACACAACTTTAACCATAGTACTGAGCATGGGAAGCCTCAATCGCTTGAAAGAAGGCCAGGCCTGGATCTCAAAAACTCCATCTCAAACCGTATGGGTCCACCAACAAAGCGTCAATGCAAACGTCATTCTCCGGCATGAGCAAACAAGATGGCCCTGATCTTCCCGCAAAGCCCGTTAGTGGGAAATATAGACGGACAGATGTAGTTGAGTAATGTCGATCCCTCGGATCGATGTAAGCCTTGCATCACTTTCATCTGTTCATCTCTGAAGCTGTCAAAACATCCATTTAGTGTTCTGTTCTGGTTATGTCACTTATGTGTATGTTGGCTATGTGTGACTGCGAGGTGGTTTCAAGGTAGTCGGGGCACAGAATGTCATTAATAGAGGTGGGATACAGCAAATTCTCATAGGACATTGAATTGACCTTTGTATTTTCTGCCTCTCAAGTATGTGAGAGGCAATGGTAGGTAATCAAACTTCAGATCAGCATTGCCCTGTGCTGCAAGGTTTAAAGCTCTAGCTCTCGATCCTGGAGGAGTGAGAGTCTGGCGAGTCAAAGCCTTCAGCTGAAGGGACAGACACAGCGACCCTCCCGCATGAGTGAGAATCCAACTGTCCGAATCCTCGTTATCACAATACATCGGATTAAAAGGGGCAACGGCACGCCGCTGTCGGGTGTGAGCGAAACACACGATATAGACATTGATCCAGACTCAATTGAAATGAGGTGATAATAATACAAACAAAAGCTGTTGTAATTCTTTGAGAAACCCATACTGTACAATACCTCATAAACAGCCGCTTTATATCTTGCCTCCAGTAATCTGCTCTCCCAGCTTCTTGACTCTGCCCTGGATAAGATCCCAGCGAGCTGCTTCGCTCTTCTTCGAATCGTTGACAATGTTTTGCACTGTCGGAGGCACGCCAAGGTTCCAAATATTCTCACCCTGCTGGTGGTCACTGCGCCACGCCTCGTTCTCACCCTCGGGGAACACCTTCTCTATCTCGGCGGCAAGCTGAGCCTCGGTGGTGATAAAGGTACGAGCATTCACGTAAAGCGCCTGTAACGAGTCCTGCCGTTCTAACTCATCCCGAGCCTTCTTACTCTCCAACTTTGCGCGAGCTTGAGCAAGGCGCTCTTCTCTGTCGGGATCGGGCAGCACCGGGGTACGTTTAGGCAGCATCTCCTGGACAACAGAGGGACGAGTCAAGCGCTCATCGTCCCTTTCCGGCTGCCGAAGAACTTGTTCGCGTTTTCTCTGTCTCTGAATGCTGCGGTACGCCATGAACTTGTCCGTCCGCTGCTTCCGGCTGTGCAATTCGAGGAGACCTTCCCGAAGATTCTGCCGCCTCATGTCGGCCATTCGCCGCTTCCAATCCTTGTATTCAGCATGTGGGTCATTGGGATCGATCTTGATATCCTTCGACGGAAGTGGTGTCGCAGCAGCAATGTATTCTTCGGTCGGCTTGTCTACTCGGCGGGTAGGGAAGAGCTCTCGAGGGACGGGCAGCGTACCCTTAACTCGGGGTTTCACTCGTAGATCGGGCTGAATGGTTTGAGGGACATCGACGAAATTTGGAGACTCTGGTCCGACTCGACGGCAGGTGGAAGAGGAGAAGCTGCGGACTTGCGCCGTGGCAGCCCTGCAATTGCGGAAGAGAGACATGTTGGACTGACGCGGTTCTCTCAGGGCCCCGAGCAAGCGGCAAGTCTCTGTTGAATAGAAAAGGGGCCAGCGGAGATTGAGGAGCAAGCAATCTCCAATCTTGGCAAGTGGCCAGACAAGAACGTAGCAAGCAATGAACGACTGAAGACGGCGGTCTCAATAGCATAGGAGTCGGGAAAGATGAAGCGGATTTTCTTGCACTTGGCCCGTGCACCACAGAGCTTGGCACCCACGCCAGGAAAAAAATAATCTCACTCCGAGGAAATTTTCCTTTCCTTCTCTTCCTTCTCTTGCGCTTTGCCAACTCTTATTTATCTACTCCTGCCTTTGGGACTTTTTGAAATTATTTTCTGAAGGCCTTATCAAGGAGTAGCATTCGACATGGGTACAGGAAAGAAGGAGGCGAACCGTAAGGTACGCCAGGGGAAGGTTGGAGATGGCATGGCCAATGTCAGAACAAAGGGTGAAAACTTCTACAGGTATGCTTTATGTGCTTTATTCGGCGTGAGAAGAATGTTTGGCTGACTTAATGGAAGAGATGCGAAGAAGGTCAAGCATCTGAACATGTTCAAGGATGGCAAGCCTCGACGTGACGCTGCTGGAAACATCACCGTCGCCGCCTCGTACCAGTCACGAGATGCACCCACGGCTCGGATTGAACCCAACCGTAAATGGTTCGGTAACACGAGAGTGATTTCTCAGGAGGCCTTAACATCCTTCCGCGAGGCGGTCGCTGAACGTGCCTCGGACCCGTACTCGGTCCTCCTCAAGACCAACAAGCTTCCTATGAGCCTAATCAGAGACAATGTTCACACTGTGAATGGACTGAAGCAGCATGAAGCGAAGATGGCCATTGAGACTGCTCCTTTCAGTGATACATTCGGCCCCAAGGCTCAAAGAAAGCGAGTCAAGCTGGGTGTTGCGTCTCTGGAAGACCTGGCTGGAGAGACCGTCAAGATGCATGACGCCTATGTTGAAAAGACGGATCAAGCCACTCACGAAGATGGAACAATCATCGCTTCCGGCGATGTGTCGACCGACGACAAGACTTTTACTGAAGCACCCACTGCTCGAGAGTCCGTCTTCTCCAAAGGGCAGAGCAAGCGAATCTGGAACGAGCTGTACAAGGTCATCGATTCTTCCGATGTTGTCATCCACGTGCTTGACGCTCGTGACCCTGAAGGCACACGTTGCCGGAGTGTTGAGAAGTATATTCGTGAGGAAGCTCCCCATAAGCACTTGATCTTTGTGCTTAACAAGTGTGATCTTGTTCCTACGAGCGTGGCAGTAAGTAAACTCTCTGTTCATTCATTCCTATCCTCGAACCTGTTGCACAGTACGATCATCACATTGCATCTTCATGCTTTTAAAAGCATATATGCCATTGCTAAGTCAAGTCTTCTTCCTGCGACTTTGTGTCGTGCTTTTCTCCATGGAAGTTTGTCTGTTACAGCTCTGGCAGATTGACGCTGGCCCGTGCCGAATTTCATTCTGAAGCTAGGCTGACCAGTTTTCGTTTTGAAGACTGGTCGTAAAGGGCTAAGCTGTGTTCTGTTTGTGAGTTGAGTGCTGCTTCTGCCTTATCGGCGGCTTCGTAGCAGTCCTCTTAGTAACATTTCACACATCTCACTCTTATCTGATCTCAATTTTCATCTGTTTTATTCGAGAAACGCTGGTAGGGTTCGCTAACTCTTCTCCCAGGCGTCTTGGGTACGGCATCTCTCTAAGGACTACCCCACGTTGGCGTTCCACGCTTCGATCAACAACTCCTTTGGTAAAGGTTCTTTGATCCAGCTTCTGAGACAATTCTCCTCTTTGCACTCGGACCGGAAGCAGATCTCTGTGGGATTGATTGGTTATCCTAACACTGGAAAATCATCCATCATCAACACTCTGCGGAAAAAGAAAGTTTGCAACGTGGCTCCCATCCCCGGAGAGACCAAGGTTTGGCAGTATGTGACTTTGATGAAGAGAATCTATCTCATCGACTGCCCTGGTGTTGTTCCACCAAACCAGAACGACACGGAGCAAGATATTCTCCTTCGTGGCGTCGTCCGTATCGAGAATGTTCACAACCCTGAACAGTATATCCCTGCTGTCCTGGCAAAGGTTCAACCTAAACACCTTGAACGCACATATGGCATCAAGAGCACTGGAGATCCCATCGATTTCCTTAGCATTCTCGCCCGCAAGGGCGGTAGACTCCTCCGTGGAGGCGAGCCTGATTTGGATGGTGTCGCTAAGATGGTCATCAATGATTTCCTTCGAGGCAAGATACCGTGGTTCACCCCGCCTCCCAAGTCTGCTGGTGACGACAATGCAAAGATCGAAGGTCGCGAAGGTCGGCTTGGGGAGATGGGTCGAAAGAGGAAGCTTGACGAGACAAACTCGGAGCCTGCGGGAACCACCGAGAATGCCTCTAACAAAGAGGACGCCGAGTCCGAAGATGAGGAATTTGAAGGCTTTGAAAGCGACGATGACGATGACTCAATTGTGAATCTTGAAATCAGCGATGAAGAAAGCGGGGAGGAGTGAACAGAAGCTCTCCTTCAACAATTTCACTCCATACGAGCTCGTGCTTGTACAAATATACTGCCAAAGGCTGCACCGTTAGCTTGTGGCTCCTCGCCGATCGCTGTTTAGACCAACGGCGCATAGCCCGGCAGGCTCCTGATTCACCTTCGGGTTGTCTTTCAGAGTCCGTGTTCGGCACACGCATTCCATCACCATCCGAGTGTACGGTCTGATGGAGTCGAGGCCTTTTGACGCGTGTACTCAGCCCAGTCGTGGATTTACACGACATGAATCGGGCGTGACACTCGTCAACACTTCTTTCAGTTAGGCTATCGTGACAACGCAATGGTCACTGAATAGATGCTCAATGCATCGCGGTCCAACATTATTGATACCCACACCCTATTTGAAAGGAAATTAACAAAGCACATAGAGCTATTTCCGTTTACTGTACCTTGGTAAAGACTGTAGAAGCCAAATGGGCGGTACCTAAGCAAGTAGAGGGTGCCTCACCGCCTGCAGCTTGCGTGGGGCCCTCTAGCCTCACTTTCCCCTCGCCCAATACAACTAGATAGCCCTTGCGGTTTGCATCATGAGGTTCTTGAGACAGCAAAGTCGCCTGCATGTTGTTTCCTGTGGAACTAGCGTCCATGACTACAGCTATAATTCTTCATGTCTCTGATTTCTAGAGAGATGTGCGACCATTCCCCCAATAATGGCGGAAGAGGGCATGTCTATTGTTCCCTACGGATCTTCTAACTTTGACGTTGTGCTGTAAGGGCTCTACTACACAGAATCCGTGCTCGAGGCAGTGAATCTAATGGTTTCATTATCGCAGGCGTCACAACGATTCAGTCGTCGTCTTCGACCGAGACTCCCGGCAGCTGGTACTGCGGAACGCCTCTGACAGCCATGCGGGCCTTGAATTGACCGACTGTCCGTATTGCCATCGACCGCTTCGTGAGAGCAATGCAGGTCAAGAAGGGCACCATGCTAGTCCTCAGCCAGAATTTGTCAACCCGGACTACTTTCGCATGCTTCATAATAGCTTGCCTAGCTCCGCGGACTCGTCAACACCCCCTTCTCCTCGTCGGCGTTTGGTCCAACCTGCTCTCGCTGATGGGCCCACAAACGAGCCAACTCCTTCCATCAGTGGAACTCAGGGGATATCCTCTGCCGCATTTACCCAGGATTACTTTAAAAAATTCTTCGTTGAGGAGAGAATTCTAGGGAAAGGGGGAAAGGGTGTGGTGCTTCTCGTGAAGCATGTGCTTGATGGTGTATCGTTGGGACACTACGCTTGCAAACGTGTTCCGGTCGGTGACGATCACGAATGGTTGGAAAAGGTCCTGGGCGAGGTCCAATTGTTGCAACATTTATCGCATCAGAATCTCGTATCCTATCGGCACGTATGGCTTGAGAATGCTAAAATCAGCACGTTTGGGCCAAGTGTACCGTGTGCGTTCATCCTACAACAATACTGCAACGCCGGAGATCTACACAACTATATTTGTGGCTCGGTGCAAGATATGACTACGCCACAGCAATTAAAGGCGCGTCTGCGGAGAAAATCCAAGGGAGAGCCGGAACCTAAGGTTGACCTGGGCGGACCTCGCAAGCTGAGTTTCGAGCAGATTTATTCGTTCTTCAAGGACATCACGTCCGGCCTCCGTCATTTGCATGTGAATGGTTATATCCACCGGGATCTCAAACCTAATAACTGCTTGCTTCATGAAACGAGCGATGGTTTACGGGTGTTGGTCAGTGACTTCGGCGAGGTCCAGGCTCAGGATACCACCCGATTGTCAACTGGGGCAACCGGAACCGTTTCATATTGTGCACCGGAAGTCTTGCGACGAGAGTACCCTGGAGGTCCATTTGGCAATTTCACGTTCAAGTCAGATATCTTCTCCTTGGGGATGATACTCCATTTCCTATGCTTTGCGGAACTTCCTTACCGCAATGCTGACCTGATTCACGAGGAGAAAGAGGATCTTGATCAACTTCGTGCTGAAATCAGCCAGTGGACTGGGTTTGATGACGAACGTAGACTGCGACCGGACTTGCCTGAGAAGCTCTATACTTTTCTCAAACGTCTCTTATCTGTGGACCCCGACCGACGGCCGACTGCGGATGAAGTCTTGAGCGGCATTCACGCCGGTGTCAACGGGAATGAGCATTTCCGGTTCAGGAGATCTAGCTCCACGAGTCCCGACCCTCGTACCAACTCGAGAATTCATCCAGTCGATAGCCCCGACGCTTCGTCGGTGGGCCGATCTCTCTCTCCAAGGAATAAACTCGCTGGAAGCCCAGTGGCTCTACGGCGCAGCCCTAACTATGAACCCAACAGCACCGTTCTTGAGGCAGCGTCTTTTGCCAACAGCAATGGGACAGAGAAAAGAGACTCTCTCACCTCCGAGCGAGAGCTGATGATCCGACCCAGGTTTTCTGCTACCCCTCCGCCTACGCAGGATCATATCGACCGTGCTGAGCAGACAAATGAGAATCGAGATACTCGTCCCCTACAGCATTTGCTACCTCCGCCGCCAACTCGTCCTTTCCTGGCAAGGCTCTTCGGAATAGTCTCGTCTCATCGATTGCCTACTATGCCATTTCTGCCCCTGTCTTTATTTTTCGTGAAGGTCGTTTCAGTCTTTCAGCCGTGTGCTCCCCTAGCTGTCAACCCTTGGGTCCTCTACCCCTTGCTTCTACTCGCGGGATTCATTCTGCGGTCCCGCAGTTTACTGGCACACTTTGTCGCCCTCGGTGTCCACGTTGTCATTGTCAGCCTCAGCATGCGATTCCATAAATTGTGTCTCTGGCAAGCCCCTGGAGAGGCAATGCTTCTTTGATTGTCCATGGAGCGGGATGCCTTTGTGGGTTGAGACTCACGCTACAATTTTCTACTTATCCTGCGATGGCTTCTGCCAAAAACCTTCCGGTTGCTGTTAAAAGGCTCTTCATTATTTTCTCATGACGTTACGACTGCATAAGTCTACTCAGGACTTGAGGCCTGAGCTGTTTTTTGTTGGACTCTTGGAGGGAAGATACAATATGTTCAATAGTCCTAGTCAAGCAACAAAGCAAAGAATACGATGCAGATTTATCTGGCCATGTGTATCTTAAGAGCCAGCTCCACGCAAAATAGCGATGCCAGCCCGAACAGTCATGTAGAGGGTGAAACGTTACCGGATTTCCACATGCTCCAACCCATCAACCGTACGTAAGTACTCTACTTGAGCACAATACGTGCAGCTGATGAGCCGGAGACGAAATACAGTCAGAGAGCCCTCTTAATTTTCGATCTTGGAATCTTCTCAGGATTATCATACCACTGGTTCAGACATGATCATGACTCCGCCAGAGCTCCGGAAGAGCAAGTGGCAGAGCGAGAATTCCGATCTAATCACGGGAATAGATCTCTACACAAGAAGAAGGAGGAAGGACAAATGCTAATAGAATGGGTATATGTTCTCATGGCCATGGTACTTCTATGATTGCCTCATCCGCGCGGCTTTGAACTTGCTCACGCGCTTGGGGGCTTCATCGGTGTCTATGGGAACCATCTCAGGCTCGTCGTCCACGAACCCACCGTTCTGCTGGATCTTCCGGTTTCGCATCCTGTAGAACTCCGTCGCGATTTCTTTCCTGTGCAGCTGCTCGTCGAGCTCGTCTGGTTCGGGGGCGACGGCGGCTCCTTCTGAGACGGTTCGCTCGACAAGGGTGTCTGCGAGGATTTTCCCCTCCGTACCTTCGGGTTGAGGTGGCGGGGTTGGCTTTTCAATGATGTCTGAAATTGGTTGTGAGAATGGTTTGGGTTGCCTTGGTTTGGCGGGGAAGAGAGGAATGGAATCTGGTGTTGGGGCCGCGGGCTTGCGATGGGATGGGCGGGGATCTGAGGCTCGGATGCCGTTGGTCGGAGGAACGACGCTGGGTATCTCTTCCGTGGTTGCTTTCCTGGCACTCTTGAAGCGCGAGGCCTTCTTTGGACCGCTACTTGCCGCTGGTGTCTTCCCGTCCTGCTGGGTGCGTTCAACAATTGAGTCCGCCATTGTGGGCACTTCAGGCTGCTTGGGTGGAAGAGTCTTCTTCTCGGGAACAGCAGGTTTAGGGGCCGGAGCAATATCCAGCTCTTCGGCGAAAGCAACCTTTTTCTTCGGCTTGTTCTCCTTCACTGCCGTATCAACAGAATCGTCGGATTTCTCGATGCGAACAACAGCAGGTCGTTCAAGCTCCTTCTGAATATCCTCTGGAAGGGAAGTGGTATCTTTGCCCACGTTCCACAAGCCCTTGGCGTTCAACTTCTTCTCCAGCTCCCGCATCTGCCGATGATAGTCTTCGTCCAGGACAGGACGCGTCCTTCCAAATTCGTCTTCTTCCTCTTCCTCATCGTCATCATAGTCATATTCTTCGTCAACAGAGACTTCGTCCGCATCTTCGTCTAGCTCAAGCTCGGCAACGACAGCTCCGACCTCATCCAAGCTGTATCGTAGCATCTCACGGCGTAGTTCTGCGTCTTCCGGCGGCTCATCGATATCAGTGATAGGCTGCTCCTCTTGCGTCTCCGCTTGCAATTTTGAAGGTGTGACTCTCTCATCCTGTTTTTCGGCCTGGTGATCCTGGGGGCCAGGAGCCTGGATTTCTACGGCCCTACCAGCCCGATCATCCTCAGCATTAACAGGTCGTGCAGCATTTTCTGTGCCTTTCCGCTTCGGAACCTCTGGTATGTCCTTCACACCAGCTTTTTTCAGAATTTCCAGGAGTTCCGGGGCCTGATTCCCAGGCGTCGAGGTTGAGCTCGAAATCACATTACCATCGTCATCGAGCTCCTCCATGATCTCCGTCATTTGAAAATCTGCAGTAGGTTCTGAGGGAAGTTGTTCGGAAGTTTCCAGCGCATAAAGCTGAGACTCTGCTTTGCGCAGCCTCTTTTCCATCGTCGCAACATTTTCCTTCGCGTAGTCAATCCGCCTCGATATCAAATCGATAACTTGTTGCCTCGATCGTGTCACGCCTTGTTTCTCGCCCAGAATCACCTTGACCTCGTCTTCATTGACCAGCGACCCGCCGAAGTTGCGGCATATCCGGAGAAAATCGCTCGTCGTAGCATCGTCGTCTAGATTGCCGATTTCCTCCTTCAACCCGTCGTACTCGGCCTCCCATGTCCGCCAATGATACAACGACTCCTGGAGTTTCAAGATATTGTCTTCGAGTTCGAGGCGCTGACGCTCGAGGTCTTGTAAGTGGCTGTCTGGCACGCCCATGGTAGAGGTTTTTGAATATCTATTTTATAGGAGTAGATAGAACCATCGCATAAAACTTTATTGCATCCGACCTGACGCAAAATTGTCTGGCCAGAAGATTTGCTGTAGGTATGTTCAGATTTTTGATGGCTGAGGCAAAGAAGACAAAAGAAGTTCCGCAGCGCGGAACCGCGAACCATACTTCTGATTGGTCCGTCCCTCCAGCTCTTCAACTATCAGTTAACGCCGTCATCGACATGAACAACTTTCTCTGCTCTTGAAACTTGCTCACATTATTTGAATATTTTTCACATCTCATCGATTGGCTTAGTTTGTCTTATTGATTGGAATCATGTCTCCTGCTCGCGATGCCCTCGCTCATCGCGGGGATGAAGATGGTAAGTAACTACCTCATGACTGTCAGATCTTCCTACGATTAAATGCTGAATGGCCCTGTGTAGAGGTCTGTCCAGTTTGCAAATCATCCCGCTACTTAAACCCGGATATGCGATTCCTCATCAACCCAGAATGCTACCATAAGATGTGCGAGTCATGTGTGGATCGGATTTTCTCCTCGGGCCCTGCCAACTGCCCTGTCGCGGGATGCCATAGGACTTTGCGAAAGAATCGGTTCAGAAAGCAGACATTTGAGGATATCGGAGTGGAAAGGGAGGTGGATATACGGCGCCGAGTGATGTCGATGTAGGTTCTTTAATGCTAGAGTTCTTTTTTTTCTCTGAGCCGCGCTAATATCATCCAGTCTGAATCGCCGCGAGGAGGAGTTCGACTCGAAACGGGCCTGGGATGATTTCCTTGAACAGCGTGAAGAAATTATCGCAAATCTCGTCCACGGTACAGACGTAGCGAAGACAGAGGCAGATCTCCAGAAATACGCGCAAGAGAACATGAACTCCATTCGGGCCAACCGCGCTCTCGAAGCCCAGGAGGCGTCGTCTTTCCAAGAACAGCAGACACAGGAACAAGAGCTCGCACGTATCCGCCGGGAGGAAGCAAGGCAAGAATACGAGAACGAGCGACGAGAAGTTATCGCTGGCCGAGAAGACTATCTCGCCCGGCTCGCAGCGGGAAAACCAGGCGATGCCGCCACCATCGCCCGGGAGAGCCACAAAGTCCTCCTCAAGAAATCATCTGCGCGGCGTAGCGAGGAAGATCGAATCCGTCAGAAGCAGGCCGCCCTGCGCAGCTCGGAGCTCAAGAAACTCGGCCAGGCTGCCACCACTGCTGACCGCGCCGGTCCAGCAGACACAGGTCTCATCAAGGGTCTCAAGAAGATCAAGACCCCGGAGCCCGAGAAGGCCTACGATCCATTTGGCGGATTCGTTCCCAATAAGCGCGACTACTATACCCTGCGCGATCACTACCCATCCAGTTACCTCGACCCAATCAGGCAGGACACCCGTATGCAGGCAGGCGGGTACGATTTACGTGAATATTATTCTCGTACCCTACTCGAGGCGTTTGCAGGCTTAGGATGCTTTATCGATGAGGAAGTATCTAAACGCGATGCTACGAGCACACTTGCGAACACAAAGCCTGTGGCCACTGAGGGGGCAGCAATGGCTGCTGTATCGAGCTCTAAGGTAGCAACATGAACATCACTCGTTCTGATGTGATCGCCAGCATTGGATGCACTCTTTTGATTTTTTTGGGCTGACCCACAATTTTGGACCGGAGTTCTGGGCTATCGGGTTGGATACCTAGACGGAGCATAGCGAGGCGTTTTCTGGAATCGATTTTTTTCTTTTCTCACTTTCCACCTCTCTAACTCACCTGTCTCTATATTTGAAAAGCGCGAATGTTATAGAGCCAAACAATCTCAAAACAGGATGAATTTTCAGTTCATGTCCATCAATCAGAAGTTTTCCATACAAAGAGACGCGACGAGAGAGAAATATAGCCTGCCAAAGCTAAACGGAATCGCAGGTGGAGTGTGTCATTATTAGTAAGTCTGCCTTACTAACCATAACAGCGCGCCAATGGTCTAGTGGTTAGGATGCGGTCCTCCCATTCCCTTACTGGGCAAGACCGAGACACGAGTTCGAATCCCGTTTGGCGCACTCTTTTTGCTTTTTGCTTTTTGCTTCATTGTTGTTTGATACTTTTTGCGTTGTTCTGTAATTCCTTTTGTGACGGACATGCGCTTGATGATTTTTTGCGAATCATGGCGCCCTCGCCATCAGTCTGGCAAATGTACCATGCAGTGTGGATGGAGGCGAGCTCGGACATGTCCTCCGGGAAACCTCAGATATCTGGCCACCACAATGACGAAGGGGGGCCAATGCTTGTGTATATATTTCCGCAAGAGTAATTGGATATCCTGTGCCGTTATATGATATTTTTCCTACTCTGTGCATAGCCAAGTTCGAGCACACATAGAATTGAATACGTTTGTATATTGATACCCTTAATTACGCAAAATGTCAGTCGCAGGAAGTCAGTATGTCTTGCAGACAGGGCTGGCATCCGGCATGTCCGCTACAGAAGGGCCAATGCACTCGCCACACCCGAATCCCGTCGACCCCAAGATGAGCGAGGAGTCTTATGTGTTGCCCAGTGAGATCATACCAGACTCGAGGGCACGAATCACACTGCGAGGAAAGGCCCACGATGTTCTAGTGCCCTATATATGCATCGGTGCCTGGTCCTGGGGCGATAAAGCCACGTGGAAATACGATGCAGAACGTGACCTTCCGAGGATCCGAGCCGCTTGGTCGAAGTTGCGACAGGTCGGGTTAACTTTTGTTGACACGGCCCCTGCGTATGGCGACGGAGACAGCGAGCGTATCTGTGGCCAGCTGTTCAAGGACATGAGGCGGGAGGAATTCATCATACAGACAAAGTGGATGTCATGGCCTGACCCGACAAACGTCTTTCTCCAATCGCACGGCCCGGAAAACAAACTCAGAAGCTCGTTGGAGAGGCTTGGCCTTGAATATGTGGATGTCTACCTTGTCCATGGACCAACTCACCTTAGCATGATACCGACTGTCGCGCAGGGTCTTGCGGACTGCGTCAACAGTGGGTTGGCACGGACCGTTGGCGTTGCCAATTATGATAAAGACGATATGATCAAAATGGCCAATGAGCTCGACAAGCATGGCGTCCCCCTGGCGACCAATCAATGCGAGTACTCCGTTATTAGAAGACATCCAGAAGTTCATGGATTGATCCGCGAATGCCGCCAGAGAGGAATCGTCTTCCAGGGATATGCATCGCTGGGAGAGGGCCGCCTGTCGAACAAGTACTCTCGATTCCATGAGCCTCCGCGGACGTATCGTTTCAGTAGCTATCCCATGCATATGCTTGAGCCAACCCTGAACGTGCTTGAGCAAATCGCTGAAGAAAGGCGTGTCCCTGTGGCCGCTGTGGCATTGAATTTCAGTATCAACAAGGGAGTTCTTCCTCTGGTGGGAATTCGGAGTGGTGAGCAAGCGGAGCAGGACATGCAGGCTCTAGGCTGGCGCCTGACACCAGACGAGATGCGACGGATTGAGGCTGTCAGTATCGAGGGACATACCACGGTACTGTGGCAGCATGGTTAGAGGCATGCAATAAGTCAGTACTTAGTACCTTTACAATCCCATTGCTTCCTTGAACTTGGATACGGCAGCTATAGTAGTCAGAGCTGGAAAAGTAACAATGAACAAGCGGCGAATTATTTGAACTAATATTGTAAGTTATGGAACTGTAGGTTGGCTTGATGTCAGAGGGAGTCATTATGTGGTGAAATAATAGGGCGATGATTATGATGTTGTTGCCCCGCCTCCCCTCAGTCCCGTCGTAGCACTCCCCGCATCACAGCAAGCCCAACGACCATCTTCGCTCTTTAGACTCTCAAACCCACAAGTCTAGCCTAAGGTCTGCTTTGAATCTGACATCGGCAAAAATGGAGCGGTCTAAGAAGCCCTCAGCCATTGGTGTGGCCGCATCACTACCCCAGCCCACCATCACCTTCCGCGAAAACAAGATCGAGGCCACCTTGCCCACCGGCGAGTCAGTCACCGTTCACTTGTATGGAGCAACGGTCACCTCGTGGAAGCTTGCAAATGGACGGGAACAGTTGTTCATGAGTGAAAAGGCTCATTTGGATGGCTCCAAGCCTATCCGTGGTGGCATTCCCGTTGTGTTCCCTGTACGTCTAACCAAAATCTCCTTACCTGAAGCTGGGCAGCACGACTGATGCGACACATCTCTTTCTTGCTATAGGTCTTTGGCCCTCCTCCTCCCAACCACGCTACCTCCTCCCTCCCACAGCATGGCTTTGCGCGCAACTCCAATTGGGAGTTCCTAGGCAAGTCATCGTCCGAATCGCTAGGAAAGAAGGATTGTGATGATTCAGTCAAGCTCGACTTTGGTCTGTCTCATACTATGCTGAGCGAGGAATTCCGGAAGGCTTGGCCGTATGAGTTCGGCCTTTTGTACAGTGTCACCTTGAGCAAGGAAGGTCTGGAAACATCCCTGCAAGTGCAGAACAAGGGCAACCAGAATTTCGACTTCCAGGTTCTGATGCACACCTATCTCAGCATTGATGTAAGCGACCATTAATATTCCTGACGGTGCTGCATGGCTTTGCTAATTACCAATGCGTCATAGGATATCTCGCAAATCCGGGTTAAGAACCTCGAATCCAAGACCTACATCGATAAGACCCAAAACGCTACTTCGCACACTGAGAACTCGCCTGCGTTGGAGATCAACAAGGAGACAGATCGTGTGTACAAAGCATTGGACCCTAAGGTTCCCATCATCGTGGCATCTGCCGCTGACGACAAGCCTATTTTCTCTGTTACACGCGAGGGATTGAACGATGTCGTTGTCTGGAACCCTTGGATCGAAAAGGCGAAGGGCATGGCCGATTTTGCCCCGGATGATGCATACAAGAAGATGATTTGCATCGAGGCTGGTTCCGTTGCTGGCTGGCAGACCTTGGAGGCTGGCGAGTCCTGGGAGGGAAGCCAGTCAATCCGCCCGAGACTGTAGATGCAACGGCGGGGTTGATCTTTTCCTTTACTGAATGGATGATGATAGCAAACTCTTTGATGCCTTAAGGAACTTAAAACAAATCTTTGCAGCTGAGAATGTCCCTCAAGGCTCCAATCGAAAGTAGTTCTTGCTGGACTTATGCTGGGTTCCGCCCATTGCCTTGGATAGATTTCAATTGCTAGTATTACACGTTGCGGCGTCTGAGAGATAGAGATTCAAACATTCATATGGTTTTCAGGCAGCCTTCTGTCAGGATAGTCCCTTCTTCTCTGTTTCCAACACGGCAGGAAGACTTTGCGCGATTTCGACACTGTACTGCGGCCCCCTGTAATCGCGTCTTCCACGAACAGACCACCATAACGCAGTCAAAGTGACCAGTCCTACAGCAATAACACTCGAGTAGTTCATGTTGTGAACTGTGACCGGGAGGGTGAGTGGAAAGCAGAAGAAGACAATAGTAACAAGAATATAGACCACAGCCACTCCGTTCACTACCAAGCCCGTCTTCCTTCCCATGTAGAAAGGTCCAGGCACTATATTCTTCCGGCCTGTCAGCACATGAGGCAGAATAGCCCCTAGATAGGACAGAGTGCTCAGTACGACATAGGACGATAGTAGTGCCTGGAATGCGGTAGTACTGCTTATGTATATGCAACCCAGGAAACTCACCATACCAGCCATAGCTACAGTGGCCCGGATGGGATTCTTCTGTATTGGATGAACATGGCTGAAGTACGAGGCGAAAGGCGTTGCGTTGTCTCGAGCAAGACTCCACCACATGCGACCCCCAGTGATGTAGACTCCAACTAGGGTTGGAAACGCGGTCAGGAAGAGCACCGCAACCAGTCCGACTGCCCCCTGCCTGGATCCAGTGGCTTGTCGGTAGATTTCTGCTGTTGGGAAAGACGAGAGCTCGCTATGTAAGACAGCGTCGAGGTCCTCAATGGAGTAGAACAACGCAATTAGGTAGACAAAGGTGGTGACAAAGGCAGTTAACATCTGAAGCATCGTTCCTTGAGGGACTCTGATTTCGGGCTTCATAACTATGTAAAAAGCATTGTTAACTAGGAAAGTAGTAGACGTAAGGAGCAAGATTACTAACCTTCTTCGGAAAGATGAGTGATGCAGTCAGGGACTCCGACTGAGAACGCCGGGTTGATCAGACCTATTAGGAAACAAATACCATCCGACCAACCGCCGGTGTTGTTGTGATATCTTCTCCAAACCTCAGTATTGCTTGCATACTTTCTCGGCATGACGACGAGGACAATGACCGTCACCAATAAACCACACATTGAGAGAACAAGAGCAACTCGGTTCAACATAGGGATGAGTCTATTCCCGAAACAAACCACCGCGCAACAAATCCAAGCGAGCAGTTGGAAAACGATGAACACCTGCCACGAATGCCATTGCGAGCCGGAATGGAGGAGCATATACATGGCCACAGCCTCATTTCCGAGCATGGAGCTAATCGACGCAGCCGACAGAAGCCAGGCACAAGCATTCAGGTACCCGGTTAAAAAGCCAACAAACCGTCCGTATTCTTGGCTCGACACCGATGCCCAATAATAGACACCCCCGGCCGATGGCATGGAAGACGCAAGTTCGGACAGGGATGCGGATATGAGTGTATAGAATATACTGACAAGTATGAGGCCGTACAGTATTGCCATGGGGCCTCCATCTTGTAGAGCTGCAACGATCGTTCCTCCAGTAACGGCCCAGGCGCTACGTGAACATGTCAGCAAACTGTACAGATGGCCAGCATTGTGCTTGACCTACTTCGCAATGACAATACCGAGACTGACCAAGCTGAAGAGATCAAAGTGCCTTTTCAGCTCCTGCTTGTGGCCTAAGGCAGCCTCTAAACGTGCATCGTCCATCATATTGGGATCATAGGAAGTATCCATTTGGTTGATTGGGTGAACAAATGCAGAGGTAGAAGAGAAGTCCAGTCTTTCTTGTACAACAATGACTGGTACACTCGATGTGCCACAGGTGAGTTATCCGGTGGCATGTGCTCCTTAAACCACCTACCTCCTAACTCTCACCCCCTACTCCATGCAAGGAGGTGTGGCTGCCCCCATATGGACGCCACGTGGGTTGCATATCTGACGGCTTACTTGGTCTTCAAATCGCCGATGCCATGGCTAGCGGTAGTATATCATGTTGTCCATCCCGAGCATGCGCCGCGTCGGGATGGGATATGGTAACATCTGAGGAGCTGTGGTATGATAAGATGAGCAACCCAGCAGAGAGCAGTCTCTCAGGACCTTTGACAACGTTTGCAGGTACTTACTTCTACAACCGCTAGATGGGTAAGAGAACTTTGCTCTTGCGATCCCCACGCAAGGGGGAGCTGAGGTAGTATTTTCTTGTCGATCCTCGCCACTGAGTTCACATTCTCGGGCATATTCATCGGCCTTTCGATTGTTCTCTGCTATTTCCATATCTGGGTAAAGTAACGAGAATACTTCCGGTGCATGGTGGTGGATTTCTAACAAGAAAGAGGACCTATTGCCGACCACTTTAAGTAACTACTTTTAGGATCATCAACTCGTCCAATATTATCGTCTTTGCTTTGCTCACTGAGTCGTGAAAGTCACAGCCTTGTTTATATCATTTCTTCGCCTGACTATTTAGTATGTCGTCAAAGTGACCGTACTTGTATAAATTTTGAGTCGAAAGGACCAGGTAAAGCCATGTGTAATTATCACGCTCAATCTTGCAAGCTTCGGAAATCCACTAATCGTCAGGGGAGATCAGTTGACAGGCGCTTCGGAATCGTGAAAGTCACCCAACTTCAGCAGTTTCTTCGCATTGCCTTGACTGATGCAATGATACAAATCAATACCTCCCACTGCCTCCTGAAGGGCCTTCGCACCATTATCCCACCAGCCACAGCCATTTTCAATCGTCTCATATGGGTAGTCGATGCTGAAGAGGACGCGGTCGGCGCCTATTTCGTCCACCACATACTTGAGTGTCGCCGTGGAGAAGTGTCCGCCGGTGGTGATGCAGATATCCTGTTTAAAATAATCATAAACGGTCTTCTTGCACACGAATTTGCCCTTGTCTTCAGCAATGGGCTTGTCGACATCCTGTAACCAGTGGTTTATACGGCAAAAGTCAAACGGAATGTGTTCTCTCAGATGACCAATGATAACCTTCGCTGTGGGAAATCGGCCAAACACACCATTGCTGATCAGTCACAGGGTACGCAGACTCACCTCGTTAGCGAAAGATAGAGGTGGTCCGATCAAGGATGGACGCTGACTGTACAATTTTTCCAGGACCACATCGGCTGGTACTGCAGGGTGGATATAAAGGGAACGTCGAGCTCCGTGAGGACCTTTCAAAAGGCATCGTACTGAGGTTGGTCGTAGAAGAGGTATGTTTCGCCATTCGGCCCGGCATGTTGGAAATCACACAGCAAAACGCCGTGGAAGCCGAGATCCTTGACGCAGCGGCGAAGCTCCTGGCCAGCCTGAACATTATGCATTGACAGGCGGGAAAAAGCTCCCAAGCGGTCTCGGTGCTCCTTGATTTGCTCTGCGATCCAGTTGTTCGTCACAGTCGCTGTCTCCTCCGCCTCGGTCTTGTCCGCAATGCCCTGAATCCCGGGGACAGTCAAGGAGACCACTGTACATCCGATACCATGTTCGTTGGATAATTGGAGACATTCCCCGGTGAGACCATGGATCTGGCGCACGTAGCGCTCACGGTCCCAAGAAGCGATGTACAAGCTGGCGTCACGCTTCGACTTCTCTGCCAGGCCAGAGTGTTCAGAAAAGAACGGTCATATCGCATACTACAGCTGGACGGAGACGATAAGCTTCCGCATTGTATCTCAAAATCGGGGTGATAACCCTGGTGATGGCGAGGAATCACTTTGAGTCCTCGTGCTGGCGCCAGTTGAGTAGAGATCCACGAAGGGAGAGTGGCTCCCAGAAATCGCATGTCATTACTGATCACAAGGCTCACGGGATAGACCCGGACTCAATTCTCCCACTCGACTAGGTCAGCTCTGAACATCAAATGAGTTGAGATGTTTTTATTCAGCTGCGTCCTTGTCGATGACAGCTACTAATGTGCAGACTTACTGCAGATACGCAGCGTGATTCTATGATGGGAAACACGTGAATGAATTATGAGACCTATCAATTGTCTGGTTCACTCCTTCGGGCCAATGTTTGCCGACTAAGGGAAATTAAGTGACAGGACGATCAATGCTAACCAACTTTATTCTCTTGCCACAACCCTAGAAGCTCACGGCCTCAGAACACCAGGCGGGCCCAGCGCTCTTGGAAGTGATGTCTGCTTCGACACGAGGAGCATTTTAATTGTCCATCTGGGCAGTCACCAAAGCCCGCGAAGCGAAGATGAGCTTCAGTCCTGAATTGAATTTAGCTACAGGCACTTAAAATCTTGTGCGGCCATAGAGCTACGCTGACGCGAGGTGTTCGGGGGCGTTGTTCCAGGACTTCTCCACTTGCTAAACATACGCGTGGTCCTCGGAGGGATAAGAATTCCAGAAGAGGTGGCTGGAAATTCTGGCTTGCGGTTCTCCTCTTTCCGGGAGCATCTCTACTTGCGACTTGCAAAGAATGACTCTTTGAAACCATTCTGGGGATGATGTACATGGTTCTTCCATGTCGGTTATTTGCCATCTTCTCCTGAACAACTTGCGGAGAAATAAGCCTTTAACGAGATTGAATCCGGCACTGAAGCCTTACATACTGGAGAATGCTTTGGCTGGTACGAGACATGTACGAATGACTCTAATCAATGCCTGACCGCTATTTGGACAATTGGACTGAGGATGATTGAAGAAGTTTGATCTCAACCGATCATGAACACGGCTATTGTGCAACACCGGGTTGCAGTGTGAGCACCTGCGAGGAAAGCAAAGCGCGGTATAGCTTACCACTGAGCGTCCGAACGCACCTCGAGGACTACCGTGCGCGCTATTTGATCTAAGCTTGCCATTAAGCTGACCCTGGCAGTCTTGCGCAAGTCGTAAAGACAAGCGAACCCTGGTCGGGCCTGGGCACAAATGAGTCTCCTAGATGTCGTAGTGCCGGAGACCTTATCCTTACATGCGAAATTACGTCCTCAAATACCCTTGGTTTCAGAAAAGATCAACCTAGGGAGGAAGGCTCGCTTACAGACGCTTAATTGGGAACTATGCAGATGTTTCTCCAAGTGGCCTTGGCTGCGCTTAACACGGCAAACGCATGTGATGGCATTCAACCACCTCCATCACTTGAGAAGACCTTGGTTGGATGTGCAAGGGAAATAAGGACTCAAAGATAAATACTCAAACATGATTCGAGTGGAACAACAACAGTGGGTCACGCAATTTTGTTGCTCGTGCTTCCCAGCCTGTCATCTTGTCCGGAGTCCCCGCTCGAGTGGCCGGAGTTGGGAAACGTTCAAGCATTCTTTGATGTGTAAGAATGCACTCAAACAGCGCTGCTGAACGCTGGATGTTCCTCTGAGCGTTGATGTAGCCAATGGTCCTTACGACCTGTGGTCCCAGCGTCCCTTGCGTTGAACTCTCCCTTCCCTCCCTTTCCTCCCTTGCTTTAGCTGGGTCTGGAGTCTGACAAATTACGGCATGCAACAAATGAGGGATTGCGAGCTGTATCGTTTCAGGTCTGACACAAAAATTCAGATGATAATGCGGTCAATCAATGTTTGGATACGCGGACCATTTGATATACCTGAGACATCGTAGCTCACAGTGAACTGGCTGATAGAGCTCGATCTCGATCTTTTAAATCAGTAAATGGCAATGCAACCTTGACATTGCATAGGAGCTGAAGCTGGTTTGCTTCGGATGAGCAATAGCACTCATTGTTGGATTGCCCATCTGTTTCGCTCCATTGCCACGATGGGGAACGTGTCGCCCACTCCACACCAGCTGCTCACGGAGTCTGTCATTTTCTGGAGCATTGCGATTGTCCTCTACGTTGGTAGAATGTACGTACATTGAGACGCCTTTGAGGAGACAGTAAAGGACTGATCAGGCGAAGGATATCTCGTGTTATCTCAAATGGATCGGTCAAGCGCTTATACTGTATGCCCCGGTAGGTTTGCGCCAACCCGTGTGACAGCTACTAACAGTAAGTGGTGTAATAGTTGATGACTATGTCATGAGTGCAACATTTGTGGGTGTCCACCGTCTGCTCGTCCTCAATCGGAAACGGCTGACATGTCAATGATTCCATCCTAGTTGATCTATACGAGTCTACTAGTTCTGATCCAAATATCCGCCCGTTATGCGACGAACCTGATGGACCCAGCCGACTACGACAAAGTTCTCGCCAATCCTCAAGAAGTCAAGGACCGGATCATTGGTAGTAAGATCGTCATTGGATTGGAACAGTGCATGCTGTTCTCAACCTGGGGTGTCAAGATCTGCATGTTGACCCTGTTCTGGCGGTTAACTAAGAACCTCCGATTACATCTCTATGTCAAGATCATTGCGGTGTATGTTGCGGTTGGCTTCGTTGTGATTATGGTCACCTATTATGGCGTCTACTGCCGACCATTCTCCCAGTACTGGGCCATGCCTGTCAAGGACCTGCAATGTGCGACCTACCAGAACTACTCCATCACTCAGGCAGTCTTCAACATATCGTCGGATGCAGCCATGCTAGCGGTCCCGGTCCCGCTACTCATTAAAGCACAGATAAAGATGAGAAAAAAGCTGCTGCTTATCTGCATCATGAGCCTCGGTGTATTCACCATTGTGGCGGCCATTCTGAACAAAGTGTTCAATTTCGCCTCCCCTTTGACCACCACCTATCAGATTTGGTACATTCGGGAGGCCAGCACAGCAATCTATGTGGCGAACTTGATGTGCTTATGGCCGCTGCTCCGCAAGCTATTCGGCCTGAAGGCATTCTTATACGGAAGCAGGCAGTACCGACAGCAGGGTGCTCAGGGTGGCAAGGAATCCTCAGGCTCACAGTCGCGACCTTCGTTTTCTCTAAACCGAGTCCTCAAGATCAAAGGGTCCGGATATCGACGGGCTATCAACGAGCTTATGCCGTCCCTCAAACAGGATGGGCGAGAAGCAAGCAAGGAAGCAATCGCCAAACCATCCTCTGAACACCTGGAGAACTCCGCAGAGCTCCAGGGAATAGACTTGGACGAATGGGACGATCAACGAGAATGTATGAAAAAGGGACGTGTGCAAATTGATCTTGAAGCTGGATCGATCAAGGACAACAATACATCGGAATCACGCTCTAGATCGGGTACACCAGGGCGAATAGCCTACCAGGCCGGTGAATGGAGGGTTTAATCCTGAAAATAGAATGAACGAATCTCCAAGCATTGATCCGGCAAACAGTAGATTAACTGAATACATTATTAACTCCGGAATCACCCAGGCTAGGCCAAACGGCTCATTCTGTGATGCCTGTCGCGATCCCTCGAATAGACCATCTGCTGCTAACTAAACCGCAATTACATGACACATGAAAATACACAAAGAGAGAAAGACTGACCTCCTAGTTTACATGAGAACTTCACCCAAATCGCCCTGCAAAACTGATCAACGCCGGCTGGGGAGGCACAGGCATAGTCAAGAACCGAGGTCGCCTCCCATCCTCCAGATCCAACTTGCCGTCATCTTCTACCAAGCTGACTCTGCACAAAGGACACGAGGTATGATATCTCGTCAGCCACGGATCCACACATGCTGAATGGAAAATATGCTCGCAAGGAAGCGGCCGGACGTCCTCATCATCCCTGAGCTGTTCCATGCAAATAGAGCACAGGATCGGATCCGGGGCGTCGCTCTCTGCCCCAAGGGCTTTCTTCCCTCGGTGCAGCGTCCTCCAAATACTGAGCTTTGCAAGCGGGAACTGTTTGTCGATATCGATATCGGCTAGTATTGTCCTTCCCAGGAAATGGAGGCGCCTTGTTTCTCGCTCCCGTCTGTGGATCCGATATCTTATGGTGATAACTGCCCTAATTTGGATTAATCAATTGATCAATACATATGACAACGAGATGACGTCAGACCGACCAGACTAGGAGGAATAGAAACACAACGATCGGAGGCGCAATATATCCCAGAGGAGTTGCAGACGAGGTCGAGGACGAGGACTCGACTGAGTGATCAGTCATCCCAGATGACGAGAGGTATCATTGAAGTGGAACTGGAACTATCTTTACTACCACAGTATGAGAAGCAAAATGCTACGTGAAGGAAATATTGATATCACCCTTTGATCTCCAGACTTTAGGAGTTCCCGGACTATTCAAGCAAGTCAACATCCTCATGGCCAAGAGCCAACCCCGCATCGTGATCCCAAGGACAAGAAAGAAGGTTTCAGCGTCTACATGTACAGAATACGCGAGCCTAGCCACGCTGACCAGCGGAGCGCTCCTCCAACAGCCCTGTCGCACAGAGTGGCGGCTAAGCCACGTTGAGCTCTGGGTTCAGCCGTGTCACCTGTCACGGGAGGCATTACGCACGAATGGGAGTGTTGACTAGTGTCTGAAACCTTTGTTTGTATTTCCGATGGGCTATTATTTGTGGATGGGTCGCTGGCATGTTGGCGATGTATTTATTGTCATTCAGGTATCAAAGGTGGACGATATTGTGTATAATGTCCTGCTCACCTAGGTATGAGCAACACCGATGCTAGACAAAGGTGCCGAACTCCATTTACATCGTCCGGACTTCTTGAACGATCACTTGCCTGAAACAGAGAAATGATGGAATTCTATTTATACTACGGACTGTCCAGCCCGTTTGCCTCAATCCCTGAAAGGCCACACTCAGACGGACCAACCTGCAAAGCAGACAAGAGAAACGTTATAGTAGCGGCTTTCCCAAGACGACTATTGCCAAAACAGAAAAAGAAAGGTGGATAGTAGATACAAAAGGACATATATGAAACGCCAGCGCTATGCAATTAAGAAATTACCCTGCATGTCTTCTCAGTGCTTCGTGCATTTCCACCCGGATATCGAATAGGAGGTCGTCGATCTCTTTCAGGGCAGATAGATTCAGGGTGGTTGATTTGACATCATCAAGTACCCTTCGTAAAGAGGATATTACGCCTTCTTGGCCGACCAAGGTACCTGTCTGGGCGGAATGGGAAATCATGATTTTGTCCTCGGGAGCATGATCATTAACATCAGCGTCTGTCTGAGCGGCGTCGACTTGAGCAGGATCGTCTGTCGGCTCTGGCTCGGCCGCCGACTCTGTTTCGACCAACTCGGTATCACCAGAGCCGCTAGTGCTTGGCTGTACTGATGCGTCAGGTGTAATCGTTTCTGGAAGGTTGCTACCGTGAACAGATGTTTCCTGGGTCAACTCCCGGGTACGAGTCAGATTCTGGTCAGAAATTTCTGCTGCAGGTGTTTCCGTCACAGAATCGCTTGCACTGGCCTCTACCTTTCTAAGAGAAGAGCTTTCCGAAAGAAGCTCTTTGTTCTTGGCCTGTTTCCGGGAGCGCGCAGTACGTGGTGATTGCCTCCGAGAAGGACTTTCTTCCGCGATGGCGGGTGCTGCATGACCTCCTAGACGGGACGATCTCCGTTTTTGAGGTGAAATCTCGGTGTTCCCCGAGACATCAACTGGGTCGTGGCTTGATGCAATATGTTCTTGCGATGTACCTTGCTCCTTTGCCGGTTCCAAGGCTTCCGAAATGACGGCGGCTGGGATACCCCTCTCACCCTTGGACTGACGTTTGCGTCTCTTTGCAACAGACTCAGCGGGCGAAGACTTGAGGTTCTGCGATGATGCAGTGGTCATGGATCTCGAGACACGAGTGCTCATGGATTCTTGGACTTCGACAGCAGATGGTGTCTTCGTCGATGACAGCCTCGAAGATCGACGCCGCTCTCGAGTAGAAGGTGTTTCACCTGCATCAGCTTCCTTAGCGTCCCGTTTCCTTTTTCTTGTTGGTTGTTGTTTAGGAGGTTCTGAAGGTGCTTCGCTTTTAGGCTCCTCGTTCATATTCCCCGCAGACTCCAAGTCTTGTTCTAGTTGAGACGCTACCTGGGTCTCCATATCATCACTGAACGAGTCTGCAATGCAGTCCGGCTTTGTGTGTGTTTCCTCTTGATTCACATTGCCTTCCATGATCTCTTGGCCTATCTTGGGCGCAGACTCGGCGATGTGGACGCTTCCTAAGAACCCCGCCTTGCCATTGTCAAGGGGTTCTGGTACAGACTCTGTTTCCTGACGTCCTATAGGTGTTGCAGGTTCTAAAACGGCAGGCGCATCTGCGATCTGCTGTTTGCCCGTAGAAGAACGAAGACGGCGCTTAAGATGCTTTTCCGATTGACCAGGCTCACCGTGCTTCCCTTTCCCGAGACCAGTATACTCGGATGTGAAATTATTGACCGTCGTCTTCTCTTGAGTCGGAACTGCACGGATATTCTCTTTCTCTGCGTCTGAAGGCATTTGAGGGAGATCTGAAGGGGCTGTTTTATTGCGTGAGTTCGGACTGAGACACCGTATACCTGGAGGCGAGGAGGGGGGATCGATATCCATACGAGAATCCATCACCTCAGCGGCTAGCGATGAGGGAATAGTTGAGCCGACCACCTGCGTCCTGCCTCTGGTGCCAGGGGTAGGGGAAGAGCCGAAGAAGCCATCCTCGTTCTCGACTGCAACTGCTGGAAACGTAGGCGTCCGAGGAGAATGTGTACTCATGGCTGGGTTGCTTAGTTGACGCGCGTGCGGCGGGGTCATAAATCCCAGTTCTCTCGGAGTTTGCACAGGAGGCGAAGACGAACGAATGCTGTCTATTATAGAGAACACGTCGTTGGGCTTGGTACAGTCTTTACTGCCTGTTGTGAAAGGGTCCGACTCAATCCCGACAGTAGATCCGACATGTCTGTCCTTGAAGGGCGGCGCGGGCTGCCGTCTGATGACATCGGGATTTCGACTCAACGGCAAGGCCGTAATCTCTCGTTCATTCGTGACAGGCGACGAATGGAAACTGGGGGAACGAGAATGTTCGAATGTGTCATCTAGGATATACGAAATGCGAGACTTGATTGACATATCTACTGGTTCACGTGAACCCTCTGGTGAGACGGAATTGGTGCGTACGCCGCCCTAAAAACATTAGTTCATAGAACATTTCAGACAGACTGCTGGAGTGCACACCTGTGTATTACCAGCTCGATGCACAGATTGGAGCTCGTGCAGTTTCGCCAGGGCACAAGATATGACCTCAGGATACTTCAGGGTCTCCTGCGATCCAAATGTAGAATTCCAGAATTCTAAGAATCTCTTTGCAATTGATGTATGAGAGGATTCGAGCCCCGCACCGATAATGAATTCGAATCTATGAAGACACGAGGCGTCATGGGGGGAAGAACTTTGCAAAATATTGATGACAGCTGACGACAAAGCACGGCACTAAACCCAAGTTAGTATGCATCTAAAAAAGGCCCCCTTGCTTAGTACACATACAGCTGTAAGAATCCTGCTTTCAACGCCACTCTCGATATTGAGTTTGCGTGCCTCATCTCTGAGCCAAAGCGCAAGGGATCCTTGGAAATTTTCAAGTAATTTCCGTCGAAAAGCCAAGATACCGGAGCCTAAAAAGGATGTCAAAGACTCTATAAAATCCGCGACACCACTGGTCTTCGATGGATCGAATGTTGAGTAAGATTCTTGGAGTGTGCGATCCACCAACTGTACCAATCGATGTGGAAAGAATACGTCTTCTTTGGAACCGCTTGTAATGGCCTCGCCTTCCTTCGTGCCCGAATCACTCTGATGGCAGTATGGGATGGATAGTGACTGGGTGAAGAGTGACGACAGTGGAAGATACGTGTTCCGAGCATCAATTGTCATCATGCATTCAGCTAAAGGTTCCAAAGTCATTGATGCAATGGCCCGGTCCCCTTTCTCGGTTCTCATGACACGTACTAAGGCATCAAGAAGCTGATTCCATGCTGGGAAAACAGTGGAAAACTTGAGCCCTGTAGAGAGGATCTTGACAACATTTTCATAATCACGAATCACGGATCCATCTCGTTCGCGCGCAGATTCAAGCGGGAAAGACCTTAGAGACTCCGCAGCCAGCTGCGCAGTTGAATTCCACACGATTTGAGCAAAGTTTTGGACGCCAAAATCAAAATCGGCATCATTCGGATACAGCCGCGCGCATTGCTGAAGGAGCTCCAGACGGGAGCCTCGGGATATTCTACCTTTGCAAGCAGCCTCAAGCGTACCATCAACCAGACGCGAGTAAGAGGGTGTAGGTTCAGGGACCCCAGTCACGTCACTTATGAATCGGAGAAGATGTAGGATTGGGCTGTCCAGGTTAGTGTTTGCCCGCAAAGGATGATGCGTCGGCGTATTAGCAGCCTGGAAAGTATCATTGGTTGTCTTCAGAAGAAGTTTCTCGGTAAATGGGATGCCTCCTAGAGAAAAGATCATGGTAGTGGACAGGAACCGAAAACGGCCAAAGAAAACATCCATCGAGTCGTCACCAAGAGCGTTTAGCGAGGAAGGACCGGCATTCCAAAGCCGTTGGAGAAGTCCAAGCACGCTGGCAACAGCTTGCATGGATTCTGCGGATGGCGTGATCTCTTTACTTGAGGCATAGGACAAAGCCTGAGACAGGCTGACCCACGCAGCAGCGATATTCGATTTATCCACATCGTCAGCCCAAAGGGAAGTTCTGAAGATGGCTTCGAAGACATTCAGGATAATCGTGATTCTTGACCTCACCCATCTGCAGTCGATGGAAGGCAGCTCCTCAGGTTCGAGTTTCGTGCTCTCGTTGACTTTGTTCTCGGTCCATATCTTGGCTTGTGGGCTCCAAAGTAGGTTGGAAAGAACGTGACAGAATCGATCGTTCAAGTGAGGGAATGAGGCAAATACGTTCGAGGGGCCAGCAACGTACTCTTCCCAGACAATATCGAGGTGTTGGAGCGTTGCAGACGGACGAAATGCATAGTATAATAGGTTGTGGTAGCTGCACAAAGCTAATTGTCCGGGCTGTGATCCATGTCGTTCTTGCTTCTTCCGCTCGAACTGAGACATGATGGGTTTGCTTAGCATTCTCAGCATTGACCGACTTGTCGTGTCGCTGGGGCTGACGACGTAGACAAATCGGTTCCAGCCAAGAATAGCCTGAGCTTTGATGGATGATTCACTGCAGTTGAAGCACCTCTGCAGCATAAGGACCCATTCTTTAAAATGTTCCCATTGGTCGATACTGAGCCTTTTGCTTCTCAAAAGCAAGACAATGATGCTCCAAACCTGGGGCACATGTACGCCACTTTCGACGTTTGCCATCATCCTTGACATTCGCTCGCATATTTCCGATACTAGTTTTCTGCCATTGTCCAAAGGACGATCGAATAAGTCACGAATACTTTTCGACAAATTGGGATTCGGACCGCAAATCATCGAGGTTTGAAAGCCCAAAGAGATGGCTTTAATCCTTGTATCTTTGACGTGATGAAGGAGACCGGATAACAAATGCTCTACCCAGAGGCCTGACTGGGAAACAAAAGTCGACTTGGACTGAGTAAGAAGGCGCTGATAAATGCTTAGACGCTGAAAGACTATTGCATTTCCATTCACGCGGCTGGTAATGTCTTCGAGTACGGTAAGTAGACGGATGATCCGCGCGTTTGTCATGATTTTTGAATGGAAGTTTTGTGTGGACAGTATGGACATATAATGTGTCAAGACCGATTTGGGCGCTTTCGCGCTTTCAAGGGCATTGATGGAGTGCTCCACAAGGAAGACCTTGAATTCGTCTGGGAGGTGCGCAGCTATCTCGATGTTCCATGAGAGCGCAGCGGCTAACTTGAGAGCTTGAATGACAAGATTCGTGCCTAGAGGCACCCCGTCTCCAAGATCTGTGCTAAGATCCCGTTGGATGAACTGGGTAATGAGCCCAAGTTTCTGCCCGATTTCTTGCTCACTAGGAAGCCCTTCGTAAGCCCTCAGGGCCCCAAAGAACTGCATATACGCATCCAGTCTCGAACTTATCGACTCCCCAGCCAATTGTTGTGTGATCGACTCGAGCAGCATGGCGAAGGATTCGGGAGTGCACGGTGCGGCGTCGGTTGTGTCGATCGGAGGATGCGCATTTGTCGTCTTCAGAATCGACTTTGTCGGTTTGCATTCATTCGAAGGGGGCAGCTCCTTGAGTTCTGACTTCAACCTGAGAGCAGAATTTGTAAAGGACGGAGGTTTGATGTACTTGGTCCATGGCGAGAAGTTCACCCGCTTGGATTGTCGAGTAGACGGAGCACCGACGGAACTGTCCGCGGCGAAAGGAGAATCGACGGGAGTTTGTACGACGATAGGAGAATCTTCTGTTCGATCTTTCTCAGATAGTATACGAGAACCTGTCCTAGGTGGAGTGGGCGGACGAGCAGACAGAGGGCCGACAACCTCCACCATATTTCAGGCAGATCGAACGATCAAGGAAATGAGGACAGGGACGGCAAGAGAACAAAAAGCATGGCGATATGGTCAAGCTACAAGACTCAGGCCAAGCTAAACATGCGAATGCCTGCGAAAGGTATTCAGCAGCAGTCCCCAGAGCCTTGATGCCCTTTGCGATCTGTTTTCAGTAGTAGATCGCTCCTAGGGCCGCGCCGAGCCTGGGTGTTAAAGTTGAAAAGACGCGCTCCAAATCTGCGATCGCGACGTGTGGCTGAGGCACGCGTAAAGTGGTGGCTACCAGATTTAGTGCCTAAGGCACTAAGGCAATCAACCCTTCAAGCCTTACCAGATGGTGATGCGAGGGTAGGTGGAGATTATATACGCAGCAGGTCTTAGAGAATTTAAGATGGCTACCTGCCTTCTCGAGACTTCTTTGTCATTATGCCTATACCGAATAAAAGAAAATTTTCGTGGCTAAGTACCTCTTAGATTCAACTTACCACTCCATACGGTAGACTACTATATGTGGGGTTGCGGCTATCCACCATACTACTATTTATTCATTGTTTCAACTAGCCGCATCTCTTTACCCCATTTCTTTGACTCCCTTAGGTGGCCTAAGATACTTATCTCACTTGATTTCCTTTAATTGTTCAGTAGTCCTGATACTCTTGAGTCTGTGATCTCTTGTGAACTGGGGTTGTCATTGGCGGCCGTTATCCTGTTTGGGTCACTCGTACGAGATCAGGCTTGCAGGGGGTTTCCTCGGAGGGCGTACAAAGCTCAGCTCGATTGATCAAGACCCACCAGTCGTCGGCATAGAGTCAAGAGGAACATGATGGCAGGTATGTCTCGATGATCTCATTAGTGAAAAGGTACCCGAATCAACCCACTGATCAATACAGACAAATCGAAAGAGGTGACGGAGCTTTTGAAAACCCTTGAGAATGATCTCAATGACAGATCTCTCACATCACCCCGTAAGTCGTACAAAGCTAGCCATCAGACTGGTCATTCTGACTTAGCGGACTTCCTGGCGCAGAAAAGGCTGAGAGACTCCTTCGTCTAAGAGAATATGGCACAAACCCAAGCAATGCAGGGCCCATCTACTCAGAGTGGGTAAGGGCGGCTCATAACACTGTCTACAATGCGTACGTTCTAACTCTCACAACAGGGTATGAAAATACTGGGTAGATACGGAGTTGAGGGAGAGACGCCAGATGTGCGTCGCGCGGCACTGCGCTGCGTCGCGAACGCCCTTCTACTGGATGACAAAATGCGTCAGATTTTTGTGGACACAGGATATGGAAGCAAATTAGCTGAAATGCTCAAGGTATGACTGTCATCTAACTAAGTTCCCGGGCAAGCTGAGACAGGAATTTGCAGTGTGATAACTCGGAAGATGAGATGGTCATCAGCCGTATACTGTTCATATGTACTTATGACACTACCATGGACTACGAGCAGCTTATCAAGAATCACTCACTGGGTGATAATGTCAATTACGTGAGTCTGCTGACATTCTGGTTGACGCATTTTACTGACAACAACAGCAAATAATTCGGCATGCAAAGCAATTTCCCAAGTCTGGCAAAAAGCCTTTGGCCCAGATAGACGAGCTGGCACTTACTGACACGTTGAAATTGATATTTAACGTCTCAAAGGTCTATCCAGATCTTTCTGCAACCTTCTCCCCTTCGATTCCTTATATCTTCAAGATCATTAGCCGCATTGACATTCCACCTAAACCTCTAGACGGCTTACTGGGATACCTTCTCAACTGCCTGTCAACTCTCGATCTCGAGAATAAGAAGGGAAAGCACTTCGAGAGCAGTCCCATTTTCCCGACGTTCAACCAAAACTGCAATGTTGACAAGCTCATCAACATTCTTGATCAAGCAGTATCTGCATATGACGCCCAGGACCTCGCAACGAAGGCCATCCCACTTCTCCACTCACTTGTGACCATCTACGAAGTGGCACCTGATGGGCCCCGTAAATACATGCAGTGGCTCCTCTTGCCGGAAGACAGTGATAGGAAACAGCCAATTGGCACATCAGATACGCTATCTTCCAAGCTGCTGCGACTGTCAACCACGCCATACCAGAATTTGAAAATCGCGATCTCCGAGCTCATGTTCGTTCTCTCAGGCAAAGACGCAGAGAACCTGACAAAGAACATCGGATACGGATTCGCCGCCGGACTGCTAGCCTCTCGTGGTATTGAGATACCACAATCTGCGAGTGAAGCTTTCGCAACCAATTCGAATGGCTTTGACCCAGAGATTAACCCTATCACTGGCCAACGATGGGATGCCGAGAAACAGGACACGGGCCCGCCAATGTCCAGAGAGGAGAAGGAAAGGGAAGCAGAGAGGTTATTCGTGCTTTTTGAGAGGTAAGACAAAGTTCCTACATCATTGATACCATATGCTAATCCTAATTGCAGAGCCAGGGCTACAGGCGTTTTGAATGTTGAAAACCCAGTCAGACAGGCTGTTGAGAGCGGACGGTTCGAAGAGTTACCTGACTCTGATGAAAGCGATTGATGCAATACCTTTGAGCTATCAGTTTCCATTCACGTTTTGCCATACCAGCCTTTTATTCAATCTATCTAAAATTCATTGTATTATGTCGTACTAAAGCTATATTCCTCACTTCAAGCACAGGTCGCGCTTTGTAATTGCTCCTGCCAATAGTGATGTGATTTAACTGCAGCATCAGAAGCTCCATTTCTCAACTATAATCTGTTTAAACATATCAATTGCATGACCTTCAGGAACCGTCTACTATCATCCACTAACTATCTTCTGCGATAGCTGATGACGTACGGTCTTAGCCTGGTGGGGTTCGCGGCCACCACGCAAAAATCTCCGCCCAAGAAAAAAGATCGCGGGGCACTTATCACCAGAGTAAACTTTTCACATATTTGACACCGATTTACGACCCTTTATCTATACCCCGTCCTCATTACAGTATCTACATCTTGGAAATATATTACAGGAAGCTACAATAGCTACAAAATGTCGAAGCCATTTGACCCGGAGACGGCGGAGAACCTGGAGGATGTAAGTTCATGTTGAGACCTCGTGCACCTAATCAATACGACGATTACTGACGCTAATCATGACTTCAGATGGAGAAGCAGTTCGCGGTGAAGGGTCAGTACCTTTCAGTCGATTGAAACTCCCATCGATACTTACATTTTCCTGGTGTAGCCGTCGAACACTTGATGACATACTGGGCGATTCTCGAGAAGGTCCGCGGTTCGCAGCTCAGATTAACAAAGATGGACGACGATATCTACGAGCACTTCAAGAGGGAATTTCCCGACTTCGATCCTGCGGCACCCATCGACGAGGATAGTATGAAGAGCAAGGAGGGCAAGGAAAAGTGGCGGAAATTTATCAACGAGTACGAGAAGAAGATTAGCGACTACAACTTCGGAACCATACTCAGAGTCAGTCCCGGTGTCGAGTACGATCAAGACACAACCATTTTCGGTAAGTTGCTACTCTGTGCTAATTCTTTTGGCAAGGTGCGAATAGCTACTAACCGTCACTGAAGCTATGCGTATGCAATTTTACGCTATCGAGATTGCCCGGTAAGTCACTGCGCCCCATTTCATATTATACGCGAATAGATTCTGACGAGTCCAGAAACCGGGCCGGTCTAAATGACTGGATCTATGAGAGGGCTCATCCGGAAGAGAAAAAGGCCAGCTCGTAAGACCGACTTGGATTCCTTTGTTCTCTGGTCCTTGTAGGACTGCCAATCGGGAAGAGTAGTCGGCGCCACGAAGTGTCAATGTACTCGAGATTGCCTTGCCAGCGACGTAGCGTCGAAAGAGCTCGTCAGACAGTGCGTCCTTGATTGTTATCGGTCGCTCAAGTTCACCTTCTCGAGATATTACCTTTGTTGAGCAGTCTGAAGGGGCCCCGGAAAAGTCCTTCTACTTGACTCTGCTATCCTTGAGTCATGTTAGAGCGGTAACCTCCTCAAACTTCGCTTCGAGTGGCTGTGAGTTTGTGACTCTCCCAAGCGGCTATCCAGGAAGCGAGAATCCGAATGCCGTTCGCATAACAACGCAATACTGTAGAGAAATGAATATCATTTACTCGATATAACCTTTGACCGCAATTCATGGGATGTCACTTATGTACATAGATTTCTGGATGCATAATCTGATTTGTGTTGTGTGCCAGGTGGCACGTGACCCTTTGTCTATCGCAAGTGAAGAACAATGTTAACGGCCGACCTTCAACTTCCTTTGTTTCTTTGAGCTGAAATGGCTGCCTCAATATTACCGCATCTGGTATCGAAGCAAAGAATGCAAAGAAGAATGAAACGGATCCTCTTAATGCTTCAGATTGAAAGCATGGAGACAGTGAAGCGTTTTGGTTCGTGTTCTTCTTGTCTTATAAATATTTTGCCTACTTTATGTATCATTCTCACAGTAATGGTCTTCTCTCACACTTCTCATCTCATCCGAAATCACTGAGAATCCTGGTCGAGGACGATTTTCGACCAGCCTCTACAAGATGACATTTGCCTTGTCAAGATCACTCCCCAGTCTTAGACGCATATTGCACTGGAGATGGAGTTGGATGTCATTGTTTGGCTTTACCACCAAGAACCATTTGCCCACTTTGAGTCTCGCGACGGCGCTTGCTCTCCTTGCTAGCTCTGTTACGCCTATATTCGCCATCCTTCTGGGAGACATTTTCAACTCGTTCACATCGTTCGGCGGTGGTGATATTAGTGGCGACGACCTACTCCGGAAGGTAGCGAGACACGGCATCGCGCTTTCAGGCTTAGGTATCGCTAGCTGGGTACTCAATGGAGCGTACTTCAGTCTCTTCATTGTTTTTGGGGAGCTACAACTCTCGAACGCTCGAACCAGAATCTTCGAAGAACTGCTGGGGAGGGACCAGGAATGGTTCGAAACACAGAAGGATGGTACAAATGCTTTCTTGTCTTATCTTCAAGCGTAGGTCATTTATCTCTGATGTCTT